CCCTAAGCCCTAAACCCCTAACCCCTCAACCCTAAACCCCTAAACCCCTAAACCATAAACCCCTAAACCCTAAACCCTGAACCCTCAACCCTAAACCCTGAACCCTCAACCCTAAACCTTCAACCTTAAACCTTCTTGATGCAAAGAGGCTTGCGGCAGCAGCACAGGCCGCTGCTTCCTGGTTTTGCACCGCGACCTTTTCGGGTTTAGGGTTTAGGGCTTTAGGGCTTTAGGGGTTTGGGGTTTAGGGTTTTGGGGTTTAGGGTTTGGGGTTTCGGGGGTTTAGGGTTTTGGGGTTTGGGTTTAGGGGTTCTGAGTTTGGGGATCACGGGTCTAAAAAGTGGTTCAGGTTCTATAATTACAGCTTAATAAGCCTTTTGCAGGGTCCCCGAAAAATGGTTCTATTACCGTTTTGTAAGCATTTCAAAGGGTTCTGGTACAGCTTTAGAAGCCTTTTAAAGGGTCCAAAAGGGGCTCTGTTACAGTTTTAGAAGCCTTTTTTCAGGGTTCTATAGGGGGGTATAGGACATTCAAATAACATGCTCTTCCCGGGTTTTGGGGGCATGCGATTATGCGGGTTTAGGGTTCGAGAATGAAGGTTTAGAGCTTGTAGAAATTACGGCTTGGGATTCTTGGGCAATCGCAGCGTCCAGGGCCAGCTAAGGGCTGTTTGACGGCTCTCGGGCTCGGGGCTTTCAGGTTTACCCTGGACTCGATTTTTCCTACAGTTTTATGGGTTCTACCTCTAATTAAGGGGTCATGGCTGCTAAGCTGTAGGTAAAGAGAGTTACAGATACGGGCTGTTTAGGGTTTGAGGCTTTGGGGTTTTAGGGGTTCAGAGCTTTCGCCTGGACCCGTTTAGGGTTTAGGGCTTGGAGGGTACAGGGCTTAGTTGAGGGTGCCGGGGCAAGAACCGCGAAGTGACATCTGAGGCAGCGGCGACATCCATCAGAACGCCTTGGCTGCCCAGGAACCATAGTTCTTCAGTTGAGGGATTCAGAGGATGAGGGGTCCCCCTTGAGGCGCCCTTATAGTAAAGGTCCCAGTATATAGGGATAGTATGAGAGTGCTCTATTTTCGGCAATGACCGATGCTATCTTCTCTGAAGATGACAAAAAGAGTGATAGTGGCAGTACTAGCAATATTAGGAAGATCAATGACAGCCTTGTGCTGGTACCCTCCTGCTTTGTGTGCGACGAGGCACAGCGCCAGTTGATGTAAGGGCTCCCGTCGATTCCACCTCGAGCTTTGCACTCTCTTCCCGACTCTCTGTGTCCTTTCATAGTGCGCTTGAGGGATGTCTTAGACTGCAATCACTGCGCAGACAAGACAAGCATTATTGTGTATTTCCCGGAGGTGGGTGTCTATGTGTGTGTGTATATATATATACATACATACATATATATATATATTATGCATAATATGTCCTTGTGTGCAAGCATACGTCTGCAGGCGGCATGAAGGAAACATGAACAGAACCCTCCAGCTTCCCCCACGATGGGTGTCGGTAGTACGGTTGATGATAGAAATCCTGCATTACCTTAAGGACCCTAAACTATGGTATATTCCTTATTATGGGTAATGCAGGATTTATAAATCCTGCATGACCCATAATAAGGAATATACCATAATTCCCGTAGACTAGGGTCCTTAGGGTAATGCAGGATTTCGATCATCAACCGTAGTAAGTCCCAGGCTCGTTGTAGCAGTGACAGAGAAGGGACACTGGTCGGAGATCTCCTCCGGTGCCTGGGCCAACACTCAGTCACTTAGGGTTTAGGGGTTTAAGGGTTCAGGGGTTAGGGTTTAGGGTATAGGGTTTAAGGGTTTAGGGTTTCGAGGGTACTGGGTTTAGGGTTTAGTGTCTCTCTCTCTCTCTCTCTCTTTCTTTAGCTGTTTTTTGGAGCGGACTAGAGAGCGACAGAGACTTACACATGTTTAGACCTGCAGTCTAGAGGTGCGGACATCTCCCGCAGCTGGAAGTTCACGCAGACTCGTCTGACTGTAACCCATACTACATCACCTAAACCGGAGGCCACAAAGAATGAATGCGATGGTTGAAGTGCTCAACCGCTCGGCTCGCACGAGCGAATTTTGAATCACTCTGAAGGTATATCTCTGAGCGATACACTCCCTTCCCCTTAAAAGGTAAGCAACAACACAGTATACTCCTTGATAAGGGTTTATAGGGTTTTGGGTTGATTCGTGACCCCTTTGAACGAAACCATAACCCAAGGAAGAATCAACTGGACATGTCTGCAAGAGCCGTGTGCTAAACCCGGCACCCTGAACCCTACAATCGCAAAATTAAAACCCTATACCCCAAAGCCTCTAACCCAGAGACTCCAATATATCCCTTAATTAAGGAGTATACCTTAAATCTTATATTAGGGTTCCCATTATAATCTAAGGGTGTATATTCGTTTAGCGAAGGGATGTATTGGAGTCTCTGGGCACCCCTAAAGCCGGGCCTCTGAACCCTCACGACTAAACCGTTTACACCCTGAGCCCCTCAACGCTGCAAACCCCTAAACCCTGCCTGAAACTCTAACTACCTACAGCTTTATGGGTTCTACCTATACTAATTCAGGTGTAATGGCTGCTAAACTGTAGGTAAAGAGAGTTACAGGAAAACCTTCGTCTCCAAAACCCCTATCCCAGGACCCTCCAACTACCCTCAACTAGGGGTAGATGGTCCCAAATTAGGGGTATTTAGGGTCTAGATCCTACACCCTAAACCCGAAAACTCCTAAACCCTATCCTAAACACGGTTTAGGGTTTAGGGTTCCCCTAAACCCTAAACCCTAAACCCTCTAAATGTCTCTAAACCCTTAACCCTAAACCCGAAAACTCCTAAACCCGAACTCCCGAGCCGCCCCAAAACCCCAAAAAAACTCTGATGACATCGTCGCCTGCAGGCTTATCGCCACCGGCGATGGCCTTCGGCATCCGCAGAGCAAAGTCACAGCTTGCAAAAATAGATGAGTATACCAGGACCCTTGAAATACCCTCAAATAGGGATACAGGGTCCCAAGTTAAGGGTATTTCGGGTCTAATAGAGGGTAGATGGAGGCTCTAGGTACAGCAATGCTCTAAATTTAGGGCTTAGGGGGTTTAGGGTGTTTAGGGTTGACTACAATATGCTCTAACACTCTAACAAATACTCTGCTCTACTACTCTAACTTTATCATTCTCGACTACTCTACTCTACTACATGAAGGCTATGGTACTGTACTACTAGAATGCCAGAATATCCCGAACCCTAGGAGGCTCTTCCGACCCGACAGGTTTAGGCATTCAGGGCTTTGGAGCTTTGGCACGCTTGGTAATGTGGGAACCTGATTAAGAAACCCTGGGCCTTGATTTGGGGTTTCTTCATATGAACCCCTACTATATTGGGGTTATGGGGTCAGGGTTTCTTAATCAGGTTCCTACATTAGCTCGGACCTGCCAGTCAGCAGCTGTCTGGCTCAGGCAATTCGCAGATTCGGTTGATAGCCATATAGGGTTTAGGGGTAAGTCAGCAACACGATTTTGGTATGTATCCAAAGTCTCCATACCTTTTTGGGGATACCTTATAATCTCCTTAATAGAAAATTGGTTAAACCAAAAAAGGAACTACAATGGAGACTACAGGTATATACTCAACAACTTGGACATCCAGGCGGTCTGCGATGCTCGCCTCACCACCACCAGGAAAGGCATGAACACCGGCTTCGCAGCGTCGCTGATGTGCGCAACACCTCAGAGGCATGGGCCTATGTTTATAGGGCTTAGGCTTAGGGGTTTAGGGTTCGTTGTTGTTTCTACCTCTGCCCCTAACGAGCCCACGTGCAACGCTATTAAAGCAAAGCTACACTGAATGAATCTAGACTTTCTGCCGATGCCAAACAGTGCGTGAAAAGGCATGCCTGTAAGAGCAGCAGCGCATTAGGGAAGTATCATCGAGTCATCATGCGATCACGCACAGGGGCAAGCACCATGCAGAGAGGACTACCATGCTTCTACGATTTCGAAAACTCCGGCTATCAACTTTGCGCAGCTTTTTCATCTTTGCATGCCACATGCATCAGCGGCTTGTCTTGCCATGCCAACGTTAACTTCAATGCTTCAACCATCTGCCACACCAATCGATAAAACAGGCCACTTGTCTCCACACAGGCGGCTGAAACTCGACGTCAGCGATCTTTCCCAGGGAAAATGCGAAGCTGCTACGCATCCAGCAGGGTCCAACTACTGTCGCTTCCACTCTCCTTGCACTGCTGGGACCGCTCGACTCTTAAGCGCTCTTCTCGAAAGCGCAGTGCATCATGCCTACAATGATCTGCCCTTGCTTTTGCGGTGGAGGCCTCTGCATGTTTTACGAACGCGTAGCCTGCAACACAGCAAAGGGCAGTGGGTGCAAGTTTTGGTGCTGCTGCCGCTGCAACACCAATGCCAACTGTAGCTATGCCAGTATAGCAGGCAAACTGCTTTACTCTTTCCCATCCTTCGAAGGACCTCTGCGCCTGCTCCAACTCAATGTCACGACGAAGCTGCCTCAGTAGCTCATGACATTCTTTGAGCTCTTGGGCCTTTTTCTCAAAATCCTCGTGAGATACAAGCCCCTGAAGGCAACGGTTCTTCAGAGCTTGGAGGTCCGCGTCGTTCTGTCTGAAGGCAGTCTCGATCTGAGCCTCTAGCGTGGCCTCTCGAGCTCGCGTGAACGCTACAATTTCATACTTCTTCCGAGTGTCCGTGGAAACTTGAGCGAGAAGCTGATGGATGTAATCTACATCTGCTGTCAACTGCTCGGCATTCCGGGTCATGTTGTCAATCTTGGCGACTCGGTTGTTTGACCTTTTAATCACCTTGTTCAGGACATGGTCCTCGCCAAGCTTGGTCAGATCAGACTTCAGCCTGTCCAAGTCGCAAGTGCAGTGCGTAAAGACAATAACAGCATGGGCCCAAAAGTGCTGACCGAACAATACTTCCAGCTGGGATATCGAGGCCAAGGCCTCGTCTGTCAGGCGGCCCTTGCGGATGACGCACGCCAGGGCATCCAGGCCCGAGGGTGTTTTGGCTGCCAGCTCCTTTGGGTCAACGGCTCCAGGCAGGTCCAAACATACAAGCGTCTGTCCAGTCACGGTGGTGTACTCAAAAGAGCCTTGACAATTGGAGTAGGGTTTGGGTGACTACTCCTTTAACTTGAGCTTATATATTATAGTAATTACTCTAGTATTCAAAACACAAAGGAGACCCACGCGAGGCCCTATATTGCTCCAAAGAGCTGACACTGCTTGTGACTGACTCAAGGCTGTCGTCGGCCAGAAAATGCTCTGACGCCGACAGCGAGTTGGCTGTTGAGCTCTTACCATGCCCCGCTTTGCCCACGAGAGCGTAGACCAAGGACGACATCAGCTTGGATTCCAAACTCGGTCTACATCCTCCATGACTTGGGCAAAAACTGTCGGATTTTCTTGGTCCACAACGGAGGCAAGTCACTGCAACTTGCTAATCACACAGAAGTAGGAATGCAGCCAGGCAATGGACAGCCTCCGGGTCAAAACGACTACGTAGAGGAGGCACATCTTTTGCTAGAGTAAAGATTGTAATACTTTGTATCATATTTATGCAAAAAGAGAAGATACTATCTTACACTGTACGCTACGGGCACAAGGGCAGATGTGGTGCGATGGGTAAAGTTCTTCTCCGTTTTGGGTGCGAAGAGGAACATCTCCGCACGAGAACACGAACAACAACCCATGTAAGTTGCAGGATCCGCCAGTGCGATAGGTCGACAGGAAAGACTCCGTGGCAAGCCCTGAAACACAGATTGTGCGACACCTACCTCTGGCTTCTGCCTTTGCATGCGGTATTTACCGCGCAATCACACATTGCAAGCAAGGCTCCACAGTTGCAGCCATCCTCCGGTAACTACCCTAAACCCTATAATAAATCCCTAAGGCTGGTTCGTGTGTCCAGCCTTGGCACACACTCCGAGGGCCGGACGTGCCACAAGTGTCCAATTTGTTCCAGGAAGGTCAAGTGATCCCAAATAGCCCTGGGCACAGGGGTTTGCAGTTTAGGGTTTAGGGTCAAACTGCGCAGATGACAGAAGCTTCTAAGTCCTCGGTTTACCTGTGGCCCCACAGACCTACCGCCTTAAGGAACTATATCAAAAAATACCCTAAAACCCCTAAACCCATAAAACCCCCAAACCCTAAACCCTGAACCCTAATCCCTGAACCCTAAATCAAAGGAACAACAAAAAAGTAGGTCATTTCGGCTACCGGGAAGGTTTGCCCGCTGCGGCCCTGCAAATTTATCGCTCGGAGCTGCAGCTGCCTGACCAAGCCCTGCATACGGTTGATGATATACATCCTGCATTACCCAGAATAAAGAATAGACGATAATTCCCATAGTTTAGGCCCTTATGGTGATGCAGGATTTATATCATCAACAGTATCTATATCAGAAATCGTCCCTTATTGGGGTTTCTAGGGTTTAGGGTGTAGGGTTCAGGGTTTAGGGGTTTAGAGGTTTAGGGGTTTAGGGTTTATGGTGTTTAGGGTTTGGCCTTACAGGGAGGCTACATGAAGGTACCTGTCATCGATGTGGATGACCCGATAGAGGCTGTTTCGAGAATGCAATGCTGGGGACCGGAACTCTTGAAAGGACAGGAGCCGGTGATTGGCAGTTGAAAGATGTGATCAGAAAAGCCCGTAGCCCAAGAATCAGAGGCAACCCTTCAAGCCCTGAGTTCATCAAGAACCCCTCTAAACCCCCCCTAAACCCTAAACCCCCAAACCCTAAACCCTCAACCCCCCAAACACTGAACCCTAAGCCCTAAACCCCAAAACCCTAAACCCTAAACCCCAAAACCCTAAACCCTAAACCCCTAAACCCTCAACCCCCAAACACTGAACCCTAAACCCCTAA